GAGAGAGAGAGAGAGAGAGAGAGAGAGAGAGAGAGAGAGAGAGAGAAGGGGGGGCGTAAGGGGGAGTGTTTGGTCTGGAAGTCGCAACTGATATTGTCATGTAGCTCTGCCTGGCGAGAAAATTGAAACCGTGCTGGATCGGATTACGGTCTATATTTTGCAAACACGGGTAGCTTGAACTATTCAGACTTGTGATTCCAGAGGAATCTCTATTTAGCAAGAGAGTTCCTTCGACCTGTCTCTTCGAGGATTGTCACACTTCTACGCTAACTTGTGGAAAAGGGCAAAAGAGCCGAGAAAAGCAGATACAATGAAGGAAAACGAGCGACGGTGGAGCGCTGGCTCAGGGTTTATTTTAGGGTGCGACGAACAAAAAAGGGGAAGCAAAATTGCGGTTGGTTGACGGGGACTGGCTTCGGGGGGAACGTCGCCGGTTGGCAGGGGAATGCATTGCTTGGGTCTAGTCTCCGTCCCGATAGTGGCGGAAGACGAACCGGTTCGCTGAGGCATAGAAGGAGCTCCCTGGCCCACACCGTGATGCAGGTCTATGTATTCGATTGAAGGCTGGATTTGTTTGGCCTGATCCTACAAAGGATCATTCTTCTGTTATCCTTTGATAACATGTCGGTTTGCGACACAACGTACCTACTTTTGTATCTCAACCTAAGGCTGTAGCCCTTGTGGGGTTTTATGTTTCTTGGGGTTTTCACCCAGATTTCTTTTTGAATGACCATTCTTAAAAGAATAAGTACCTTTGTTGTGGGGTGGTGGAAAATTGGCTGGAATTTGCGTGCATAAGGCATGGTATGACTTGCAGAAAATGGTAAAGTTGACTCCCATAGTGTGTGCGATGTTGTTGTTTAAACTGTGTGATCGCAAGTATGGATGGAAGGTACTGGATTGAGCCTTGGAGATTGCCTGTGTATTGCGTGAATGCTGATGCACAAGCCACATTATTGTTGTGAGAGTGATTGTTCGATACCACACAACCTTTTCATTTGATTGATTGAACCAGTTTTGTTTTGGTCTGGATGATTTAGTGAGAATGCGTTTGCACAGACTTCGCAACGACCGCGATAATGCGTACGTTCATCCTTGCTATTTGAATTAGTTGGTCGGACGTTGGTCTTGTACCTGGTATTCCTTGTCCAGGACATTCCAGGTTTTAACTCAACGCAAAAGGGTTTCCCCTATGTGCTGAACATTTGCACACTGCCCGTCATGGCACCCTGTCTAGAGGCAGGATCATCGATAGGGATGAACGACTCATCCTTCAACCGTTCTATATTGTGAAGGAGAATCCCTTCATGATACCTCATCTCTGACACTTGAGTGTCGTACGCAACGCTGATTCTCGTGGATGATCGAGCGATTGTGGGTAACGCGTGAATCGGGTGGGTTCGCATAATTGAATACTATGCTTTTCCCTCGCGTGAGCGTCCTGCTTAAATATTTCCAAGTGCAGACTACACCTATAGTCTCACACAGAATAAGTAATGGGATAGACGCTCGCAATGAGAGCGACCTGTGACTTGATCATTTCCTTGTTTACAATTATTTTGGTGGAACAATAACATTTCCTGCAGAAGGGTTAGCGTGTTGCTGGTGGTGCGCCATACAACTCACCACCACTCCAATTTCGCTTCTGCCCTTGGCACCATCTTACCCTACACCCTTTGGAGCACCGCAGGGTGCAGAAGATGGTCGGATGTTCAGTCCGCTTTTGTGCTCGCTAAAGGGTTGATCCCTTTAGAGCGCGCATCGGCCGACGACTGAACGTTGGACACAGTCCCATGACTCAGATGGGACCACACCTCTATGGGCACCGCATAGTACTCTATCATTGCGACTGCTCATGTATTCATGCATGGCTAGTCATTATGACAAAGGCTTGCGAAGTGACTACTATTAATGCAAAGTCTTTTGTATGCATCTGCGCTCTCTGATCCAAGAACAGTTACGGGTCGAGTAGAAAAAGGGGCTAGGGGCAATATCACAAGTAGGATCGAGTTTTCGTTGGAAAGTGTATCGCGTGGTGCCGTCCTAGTCGACTGGCGTAGGGTCGCGCTCGAGAGATCAACGCCTCGAGCGACGATTCGTGCGCGGGTCCGATTCGGGCATTGACCGCGAGTACCGGGTATGCTACAGCGAACGAGAAACGCCCTCGGCTGGGCCACCCGTGCGATTGCAGACGAAAATCCTTCGCATGTGGCCCGGTAGCTCGGGGGGGATGCGCGCACCGAAGGGATGGTGACAATTCCCATGGGTGGAGGTAAGGAGTGCCTCACGTGACCCTATCCTGTCGTAGGGGACTTGCAAGAGGTACGGATGGCACACTCGGCTGGAGCGGCAAAACGCTCTACGAGACAAGTCTTGCCAAATACTGCGTGACGCGGCTGGGAGGGTCAGACTGTGGGACCGATGCGCTCGACAACGCTGGAGGGGGAGGAGAAGAGCGATGGACTGGAGGAGGAGGAAGAAGAATCTCTCTCTCTCTCTCTCTCTCTCGGTACCAGGTACTAACCTGTGAAAGGCGTCGTTTTGATGCAAGCACGGACGTACGGAAGACGAAGCTGGAGCGCTGGAGCCAACAGGTAAGTCTTCAGGTAAGTCCCCTGGCTGCCCCCATAGCCCAGTCCCTCTCTCCTTTGGTGCGAGGTACTGCAGCTGCGCTATGCTAGTGCTGAAGTCCTAACTCAGTGCCCGGCGCTGGAAGACTACCGCTATCCTATCGTCGACTACAGCTACCGCTACTGGGTACCTCCACGAATGCCTGCTGAATGCCTAGGCGGACCAGCTATATGTAGCGCTGATCCGTTTGGGAGGCCGCTTTCACCAGTGCCTAACGGCACTGGTGTCTGGCACCCAAATCTGGCGCCCTGGCGCCCAAACACCAATCGGCCTGGTGCCTAAACTGGCACCCAGGGCCTGTGCCCTTTTGGAATGGCGCCCAGAACCTGTGCCCTTTGGGAATGGCGCGCAAGGCCTAAAACGGCGCGCAGGGCCCGTTCCCCCGCTTTCTATCTAGGCCCTTAACGGGGGCCTGGCGCTAACCAATCGACGCACCAGGGCCTAGTACTAATGTTACATGCACAGATATGTGATGTTCGTAATAACCGAGGAAATGCAGTGTGATAAAAAGGACTGAAATGGACAATGCGGTGAGAGTAGAATCTCGACAGACAATGTGCATTCTCATACATACAAAAGTGCTGAATAGCGCAGGGAAGACTTAGATACAAAGACTGACCTGACAAGGACTGACCTCACACACGTAGTACAAGTAGCGAAGCAGAATGCTAGAATACCAATCACGAGCCCAATCAATGTTTGAACTCAGACTAAACATGCATCGTATCCCTCACCAGGTGTGAAGGAGCCTGGCGCTGCAC